ATCTGAGCACTTCTGAGCTCTTGTCAGCGATGGAGTCCCTGTGTCGCCGAGTTCCCACCAAGACCATTAGCAGAACACATTGGTTGCCTGCTGGTTAGTGCTTTCTGCCACCTGTCCGCCTGCCTCTTTTCCCACAATACCGCCAAGGTCTGGAGGCTGGAGACAGATCATCCCTGAAGATGCCACTTCCTGTGAGCATTCCCCCGGCTGCCTCGTGTATCCCCCGATAGGGGATACTTTCACAATGTTTATGAGGGCAGGAATCTTCGCAGGAATGGAGACATAACCATTTCAAGATGTGTCAGATGCTGTGCAGAGCGCTGGATATGTGTCATCACTCATAGCCCCCATACCAACCCTTTCCAGGAAGTTGTAGTCAAACACTTCATAGCTCAGGGAAAGGAGGCCCAGGAAGGTTCAGCAGCTCGCCCAGGGTCACGCTGCTGCAGAATTGCACCGATTTGAACCCACATCTGTGCAACTCCCAAAGCCCATTCTGTTCACCACTGTTGTGCCACAGACAAGCCTCTGGCCCCCGAAGCCCGTATCTAGGATGGCACTGTCTCGGCAGCAGCTCTGACAGACGGTGTTCCGTGTCGGCCTGCAGCCGGGGTGGGAGAAAGTGCAGTGACAAGTGATGGGTTTGCTTGTGGGTGTGGGCGGGAGGGGGAGAATGACAGCTCATGGCGTGTGTGACATCGAAATCCATTTCATTCATATGGCAGCTGAAATTCTATGTGTATTAGCTTTGAATTGCTGCTGTAAAACATGACCACACATTCAGTGGCTTACACAGCACACATGCATCCTCTTAAAGGTTTTGAAGTCAGAATTCCAAAAGGAGCATTGTGGGGCTGAAACCCAGGTGCTGCAGGGCTGGCTCCTCCTGGGGGCTTGGGGCGAACCCGCTGCCTGCCTTTTCCCGCACACCTGCAGCCGCCGGCGTTCCTTGGCTTATTAGCCCTTCCTCCTCCATCTTCAGAGCCAGCCGCATAGCATCTTTAGGTCAGCGTCTGTCTGTCTCTGCCTCCTGCTCCCATGATCACATCTCCTTCCGACTCGGACCTTCCTGCCTCCCTTTCATGAGGACCCTCGTGATTACCTGAGCCCGCCTGGATAACCCAGAATAAGCTCCTCAACCCGGGATCCTTAAAATTGGTAACGTAGTTCTTTTCGCTTCGTAAAGTAACACTTACAGGTTCAATGTGGGGTTACAGTGTGGGCATGTTTGGGGGTGCTGTTATTCTGTGTCCCTCAAAGTGTGAAGAAAGCAGCCGGGCTCTCTGGGCTGGCTAGGCACACCGTTTCTCAGGCTTCCGAGGGCTCTGGAGCAGTGCAAGCGAGTTTTGGGTGTGAGCTGAGGGCAGCCCGGTGGACCATCGTCCGATGCATATCCTGAGAAGCCAGGCCCTCTGTGACTTGCGGGAGGGAACGGTCTTCACAGCACACGCAAGAGCTGGTACCTGCGATGGTGTCCTTTCTTCCAAGCTCCACGACCCGGCTTGGGTGGCCACAGGGCCTCTTGGCATCTGATTTCCTGTGGAATTAGAATGACCATTTTATATCTACATCAGCAGTGAAATTACTGTGCTTACATCAAGTGAGCATACCGGCTGACTGATGATCGGGAACACAGTGTGATAGCGGCTGGGCTGAGGTGGGAAGCCCACGGGGGAGCAGGGTTTGGGGGGCAGGAAGGGCATTCTGGGAATAGGGAAGAGCCCGAGAACGAGCTGAGCTGCAGTGCTGTGCCCAGAGGGGTTTGGAAGAAGATAGAGAGGAGCAACATGTCAGGGATGGCTTAGGCGGCACAGGGAGCCTGGGGTGGGCTGGGAGCAAAGGGAGAGGGCAGATTTGCACATGAGGAGAGCACCCTGGTGGCCAAAGTCCCTTGAGGTCAGGCAGGACCCAAGTCTAGTTCAGGGCCAAGTGCTCAGCCCATCAGGGTCAAGGTGGAAAGCTCAGTGGGTAGTGAATGGATGCCACATGCAGCCAGTTCACGTGGAACAGCTCCACACATCGTCACAGAGACCTTATTTGGAGGGATTTAGGTTCTCGAATGAAGGATACAGCACATCTCACTTGGGTTCCTTCCCACAATGCATTGCTCATTGCCAGTGCCTAATAATGATCTGTTAAAACCATGTTGCAATAGAAATACAGGGGGGGACAAGAAAAGAATGAAAAGCTGACCGAGTCCTACAAGTAAGGTGATTGGTCACCAGAGTCCTATGCACCGTGGAGCAGGCTGTTAAACAGATGTGTTCCCCTTTCGAAAAGTGCTTTCTCTGCATGACTTCACGAGGTCCTCCTTACACCCCTTCCCGGGGGAGGTCACGTAAACTGTCCTTTTTTAAAAAAAAAGAGTCCTATGCACCGTGGAGCAGGCTGTTAAACAGATGCGTTCCCCTTTTGAAAAGTGTTTTCTCTGCATGGCTTCACAAGGTCCTCCTTACACCCCCTCCCGGGGGAGGTCACGCAAACTGTCCTTTTTGTAAAAGAAAAAAATGTTTTTAATGGTTTTTAAAGAGAGAGGAAGAGAGAGGGATAGAAACATCGATGAGAGATAAACATCATCTATCAACTGCCTCCTGCATGCCCCGCTGCTGGGGATCGAGCCCACAATCCAGGCATGTGCCCCGACTGGGAATTAAACCATGATTTCTTGGTTTCTGGATTAACACTGAAGCACTGAGCCACACTGGCCGTGCCATGCAAACTCCTCTTTTTAAAAAACAGTTGAGGAGACTGGGCCCACTGGAGTGACGTGGTTTGCCTTTGGTATCAGCTGGAAGATGAAGGACTAAGGAATGTACTGTGGGCCCCAAATTGCATTTTTGTTTCCCTCCCATGACGCTGCCTTTTTCTCTCCTTTCTAGCTCAGTTCTCCTTCCCTCTTCTAAGCTCCCGGTATGGGTCCTATCCTTGGTTCATCCTTACGGAGGCGCTGCCTGTGGTATTTCATACACTGTGTGCTTCTTTATGGCTCTTTCCCCCGCTACATGTATCTTGCATGCCATCGACACAGAGCTCTTGGAGGGCTGGGTGATGAGATTTGCCTGTGTGCCCTGCATGTGATCCACGTCAGTCACTCTTCTTTGGAAGAATGAGCTACTTGGCTCCTGAGGGCAGGGACAGTGGCTGCTTTGCTCACCACTGGCCCGAGCGTAGTGTCCAGCTCTTAACAGATGGTGAGTGAAGCATGTCCGGGATGTAAGGGAGGAGAAGGCCGTGGTTTGCGTTCTTGGGCAGTACCGAGGGGCTGTGGCAGGCTTTGTCTCCTGACCTCCTGCCTGGTTCTGTCTCTTGATCTCTGGTCTTGGCCATCTGGGAGTTGGGTGTCCTCCAGTTGCACAGACTGGCCTCATCTCTAAGCAGTGATGGCAGAGTTTAGGCTTTTAATAAGGTAACCGCACTTTCCAAAGGGTTCTAGGTGAGAAATTCTGGGATCTTGTGTTTGTGGGGGAAGGGAGGATGGGAAAGGAAAGCTGGAGGAGGAGGGTGACAGGGAGAAGGGGAGCCCCAGGAGGTCGTGGGCTGGGACATCATGTTGATTTAGATCAGCCGTGGGCAAACTACGGCCCGCGGGCCGGATCCGGCCCGTTTGAAATGATTAAAACTAAAAAAAAAAAAAAGACCGTACCCTTTTATGTAATGATGTTTACTTTGAATTTATATTAGTTCACACAAACACTCCATCCATGCTTTTGTTCCGGCCCTCCGGTCCAGTTTAAGAACCCATTGTGGCCCTCAAGTCAAAAAGTTTGCCCACCCC